AATTATGTATAAAGGTAATGTATATTAGTTTTACTAAAAACTTTCCTAACTATAAGTCTATTCTTATCTCCAATGATATGCCTCATAAATCTATCCTACAAAGTTCAAACTAATTGTCCAATGCATTTGAAACAAAATGAACAACTTTAATTAGTAAAATGTAAAATTTCCCTGAATGAACTTAAAAAAGAAAACATTGAATCATAGTCTTATGAATTGTTCTCAATCCAAACTTCATGCAACATTGTCGAGTTAGTTATTTTTAATATGAGTTAAATTACATACACCTTTCAAATGTGCAAAGAAAAATTAAATTCTTGATGAAATCTAATATTGGTGTGCTGCTAATTATTCAATGACATGTACCTTTCTATTATGTTTCCTTAGGTTCAGATTACATGGGTAACATGCAATATGTTCTAACAATGAAAAGTTTATTCTTCCTTTTACAGAAAGCATTTTTTTTTAATTCTTAGAATAATTAAAGTATAAACTTTAAAATAATTTTTTTTTCCAAATTCTTCATCGTGTTCATGATCGATTGCTTTCATTTATATAGGACTACAATTCTTCTTCATTCCCAATAGGCATATAAATAAAGCAGTGAAATCATGTACAGTTGAACTTCAGTATCCCAGACATTCAATATCTCAAATACCATGGATATGTTGAAGTATTGTGGAAGTCCCAACTTATTCTTTTATCACCCTTGATATCAATCTCAAATACTGGGAATATCATATATCTCAAAGTTTTTCTCACACCTATCAAGTTCTAGCAAACAATGTTTGACTGTATTCAACCACTAGATTTTATTTACGGAACAAGTTTACACTTTTATACTTTATTTCTGTTGTTCTTTGATGAAGAAATTTAACTATTAGATTTGTTAGTTGTTCACAAAACTATATGTATAAATATGCAATAGAGATATATAAATTCAAATAAATATACTTGAGTATAAATATTAGCTTCATACATTAAAAACATGCTACAATACTATCATTAATATGTATTAGCTTCCGACTACCACAATCAAAAATGCAAACTACAAACTATATGTGTGTATATCCTGTGAAATCACTAATTTTCATGGGGAGTCAATTTTATTGCTTTGTATTTTATGATTAGAAGAGACCCATAAATTCATGTCTGCCATGAAATGTAAAATATTAAATAACTTAAATTTCATACTTCTTCGACCATCTCTGGTGAACCAATTTTTTTGTAAGCATGAAAATCTGACCCTACAAAAATATGTGATTTTACAGTATATAATTTAAATGTGTACAAATGCCATAAGTAAAACATACACAAATGCCAAAAAAGTATAACATAATTATGTGAGGGAAAAACTAGCTGCCACCATTTTGAAGTATTGTGAGCCAGTAAAAAGGAATGAAAATTCTGCCTAAGGATTAAGACAATCCAGTTACACGCAATCCACTTACTTGTCGATAGCCTCGATTTGGAATAGCAGGGGGAGATAATTTATCCCGCATTTTCTCATAACTTTCATCAGATTCGCCCTCAAATTCTGAATCTGACTCGTAGGACGAATCAGAATGCTATACAAGTTAAAGCAGATCGATTTATGAGCTTAGAAGTTTGAATTTGTTAAAAATACCATAATTAAAATAATTTCTTAACATAGAAATCTTAAAGGTTTCCCCATTTATACCAATTATAGGTTTAACAATCATTGAAAACTGAACAATAATTCAAACTGGTAACCTAGTCTGAAAAGAATCCTTAACACTTATCAAATGTAAGCATTATTGCATGTACAATCATGAAAATGAAACATGATTTCAATATTTTCAACAATCTGATCTAAGAAGTTATAAATACATCATTATCATAATTATTATCAATTCATTATTCTTATTAAATGAATTGAGTTCATAAAATGATAAAAATGATGAAACTTTGAAAAATGGCAAGCTGCCGCCTAATTGTTTCATGTAGGTATTGGGGGAGGGAAAACAAAAAAAGTTGCTAATTATTTTGCTTTTGACCCAGTCTATTCATGTATTTGATGAAGAATTTAACTTAGTGACAACCCAACAAAAAATTTCTGCTTTGGACCTGCTTTTCTATTTACTCTGATTCAATTGTTTGAGATATAGCAACAGTGTAATGCAATGTTCAAATCTCAAACTTTTCCAAGTGAAAGGAGGTCAAAACTTGTTGAGTGACTAAAGGTATGAAAACTCTAGAAATATGTTATTACAAAACTGGAGTAGCTTTGACACAATATATGTGCTTGTGGTTTTAAAAAATATCGGTTATATAACTGCTACTTGAGACATGCAATAATCTGTATCATGAACTTCATGGAAAACTGAACATTGTCAATAAAATCAAAATTTAACAATTTTTTTTAATGGAAAACACTTTTAAATTACTTATTTGTTTGGCATAATTATTAATTATTTAATTGTTATGTTTCTGCACTGTCAATATTTCCAAACATATTTAAAAAATACAACAAAATTTTTGGCAAAAACATAAAAAAACAAGATAATTCTTCTTTTTAAATCAAATATCTGATTTTTTAATTCCTTTGTTTTAATAACGCACTCATATTGATGAAAAAAAATTTAAAAGCCTCTTCATCTTTATCCTATATGTAGTAAGTTCCTTCCTCATGTTCCTCTTCCCTTTTTCAGACGTGACTGTCATTCTGTAAACCCCCCCATACAAAAAAAAGGTACATATAGGCATACCTTTTTTGTGCCTTTTCTGTGCCTAATGTGTACCTACTATTATAGGTACAGAAAAGGCATACCTATTCTGTACCAAAAATGAACTTAATTTTTTTCTAGTGTACCTAAAATGTACCTAATTTGGACTTTGTCATTTTACAGTGTGCCTGAAATGTGCCTACTTTAGACTTTGTCATTTTTCAGTGTACCTAAAATGTACCTAATTTGGACTTTGTCATTTTACAGTGTGCCTGAAATGTGCCTATTTTAAACTTTGTTATTTTTCAGTGTGCCTAGAATGTACCTATTTTGAACTTAGATATTTTCCATCTTACCTACTATGAACTTTGTCATTTTTCAGTGTGCCAGAAATGTACCTATGTTGAACTTAAATATTTTCCAGTGTGCATAAAATGTACCTACTTTGGACTCAGTCATTTTTCAAAATGCCTGAATTTAAATACTTTTTTAGATGACTGGTTCTTTGTATCTGGGTGTGGGTGGGGTGGGTTGTAGGGCTGGGGTTGAATTATCATTCAACATTTTGTGCATTTAATTTTTAATAACATTATACTTCAGATTTCACATCATTATTTCAAGTCCTCAGTATAATATATAGCGGTGTTGTGGAAAGAAAAAATGGGGAGGGGTGATAACATTGTTACTCTCAAATGCCAAATATGTAATTATCATTTATTCAATTAATCTTCTTACGGAAAATAAAAGGTAAAGATCCATTTCTGTTCTTAAAATATGCACTAGTTTGTCTTAAAGAGTGTCAGTTCTTAGTAACTTTGATTAACATTCTCTAAGACATAGGGGATTGTCTTATAAACACTATACAATTATATTGACCTTTAACACCCCCCCCCCCCCCCCCCCCACTACACACGCACTTGCTAAATTATTATTATTTTTTTTTTTTTACATGTCATTTTATCAAGTTTTTGCATTTATAAAACTAATTCTGCAATACTGTGAAATATGTCAATTAGAGACAGGAAATCACTTTCCGCTTGAACGCATACAATACACAGGTAATCCACAGAGAGATCAGGTTTAGTCCATGCACCTAGTGAAGTGGACACAAAGTCATGTAACCAACAGCCAAATCTGCTTAGTTACGATGCTTCTCTGTATTATTCTTGCAGTATAATTCTATAATTTCTTTTGCTCTTAAATAATTTAATGATAAATGAATGTTTTAACTATGTGAATAAACTGATAAACTATTAAGATATAAAACGTTTTAAAAACTAAATACATTTTTTTTTCAAAACCATGTTTGCTAGCAAACCCCTCTAGTTGTAACAGATACAACTTTTTATGATAAATTATCATTAATAAAATTTATATACACATCTCTATGTCCAGTAGAGGTCCCATTACGCGATCACTGCATCTCTATCTCTCTCTCTCTCTCTCTCTCTCTTTCTCTCTATCTCTCTCTCTCTCTCTCTCTCTCTCTCGTACATTTTGTAACTACAAAAATGTTTGGGATGTTTAGATTAATTTTATAGGGTGAGAATTTATATCCATTAGACCAGTTACTGGTGTATTTTGAAATGGACTTTGTTTATCTTTGAATGCAAAACGATGTCGATTTCCTCAGTATTCGGTGTTAATACCGGATGACCTTCACCCTGCAGAAATTGTTAGTGTATCACATGTAGTTCTCGACAAACCACAAACATGACAAAACGGTGATTTCATTAGATTTTTCAGCTCAACATGAATGGGTAAAATACAGAAGAATAAATTACAGAATGAAATAAATAGAGATGCTTTAACTTTTACCGGTAGCAGGGACCTATATACTGGTAGTATATATATAGGTCTCTGCTGGTAGTTAGGCAGTAGCAGTAAAAAAAATGTGCACATTTACAGAATTTTCATACAAATAATAGCCCCCAAGATGCACAAAATACAGGTGCTTATCATTTATAATTATTCACCATGTTCACATACTAGGCATTTATGGATTGTATACTGTAATAATTTACATACATGTATTTCGATGTTTGTATCACTCTCTGGTGTTAGTTACATTAATTAAGATTTTATAGTTGAAATCTAACATGAAAGAAAATTATGAATAATTAAAAAAAATAGGGGGCCTAATCAATTTGAGGGTGATTTGTTATGTAAACAAACACAAAATAGTAATGGCGGTCAAGATGGCGGTTCAATTGTTTGCCCAAAATAGCCACGCTAAATTTCAAGGATTTCTTCGCAATCGGCTTTCAGTTTAAGTTGGGGCTTCATTAAATAATTGTTAAATGTTCATTGTTATAATTATAAATTGTTTACACGAAATATTTTATGAATAATTTAATAAATTTTAATAAAATCACGTGACTCCAGCGAAGTCTACGATTGGTCAGTGGAGAGCGCGGACATTTCTGAGACGTTTTGAAAATTTGCCGAGATGAAAGCCTAAAAAAGAAATCGGAGAATTATAGTTCGGTAAGTCTTTATTTCAGTGTAAATTTTCATGCTGCTTGTTGTTAGTGTATTTGTGCACGTAAAGAATGCATTAGAATGTGAATATCAAGTGTAAATTTTACGAAGTTCTAGGTAATTGTACCGTAGATTTTTGGTTTGTTTTGATTCAAGATGGCCGTGTAGCCAGTGCTACAGCCTACACATGAATAGAAGACATATAAATAATAATTATTTTGTTTAACCTGATGTGTAACAAGACATAAAAAGTGTTTCACAGTTTCAGAGTCTTTTAAAAAAAATAATACCAGAAATTAACGTGTCAATATCGCGGGAACAGGTTATGTACAGTAGCCTCTGCATGAGCATGGCGATAATAACAAACAGAAATTCAAATGATCAGTGTGAAAATTTAATCATTGGCATATGAAATTTGAAATATAAAGTAAAGGCACTATTTTAAAAAAAAGGGGGGGGGGGTTCTTACATGTAATAGTTTTAATTTAAAGTATCAAAATTACAGCATTTATAAAACATAGTATAACAAAATTAACTGATTTGAATTTATGTTATAAGTTTACATAAAATCATTTAAACCCCATCTCTCCACTTGGTTCATGCCAGGGAAAATGAAGGGGGGGGGGGTATGACACACATAATTTATTTAAGAGTGACAATGTTTCAGTATTATATTTAAAAAATATTATGTATACAAATTAGTGTAAACTTTGTTAATAATAATGTCAGATAATTTCATGAACAAACTTTCTTTTTCAGCAAAATTCTTGTCCCCTGTAGTCATTGTAAACTTGGGGGAAATGCATAAAGACTTTAACTCTGTCAGTAAGTATGAAATCTAATCTGATTTTGAAAAAAAATATAAATATAGTAAAATTAATCACCACTTTTCAAACTCCATTGTAAATTTTAGGAATTTCAGATGCAGATCGTAACAGGGTAAGGGGGGGGGAGTGTCCAAATCACTTTTAATTGATTAAGTATATATATATACATTTAATTACATAATATATACATAATGCAAGTAGGAAGGAAGTTCCAGACTCCCTGGACCCCTCCCCTATAGATTCACACATTGGATTTAATATTTTTGAAAATAATTTCAAAGTGAAGACTCAAGAGCAACAACTTTTTCAGAATTGAAGGGAATGGCATGAAAGAAGGAATTGCGTGGTACATTCAAATGGAGGATCAATTTTTATAAGGAGTCCAGATGAAAATCGCAACTGTACAGAAATGAGTATTTACCCTGGTAAAAGGTCTATTACTGTGCAGAAAATTCTGTGGTGCCAATTGGGTAAAAACTCTATGAAAGTAATGAAGATTACATGAATTGCACATGCAGCAAGTGAATAATGTGTGGCCAAAAAAAGGACATGAAATGGAGTATACTTTCAATACCTTTACGGTGTCTTTGTGTATTTACATTGCATTAATTATGTTTTGTATATGCTGAAAAGGTGTGTTTATTTTTTTCTTGCAAAGAATGATATTACAAATATCATTATTTTGTTAAAGGTAACAATATTAATTTTTTTTTAAATATAGGAGATTTGTCATATATAGATTCCGTTTTTAGAGAGGATTTAAAATAGTTATTTTTCATATATATTTTCATGTAGCATCATATAATAAATTTTTACTTGTTTTTACTTGAACCTGATAATAATTGTTAAATTCTTCCTTAATATAGTCCTGCCCCATTCACAAGGAATGATAAGTATGTATTTTTCATGTTAGGCCAAAAATTTAAAAATTTTTGTTGGAGAAAGAAATTTTTAACTCCAGGGTTTTGTGGTTGATTTGTCGACAAAAGCCCATTTTTTGATATGCCTAAAATGTACCTTTTTGTTTAGTTATGCGGTGTGCCAATAGTGCTTTTTTTAGTACCTAAAATGTGCCTATTAATGATTTTTGGTACAATATAGGTACCTTGTAGGTATACTTTTGGTATACCTCTGGCATACTTTTGGCACAGCCTTGAAGGTACCTAATAGAATGATATGTGGGCACTTTTTAGGTATGCCTGGAATGTACCTACTGGTCTAGTTAGATGGTGTGCCAATATTGTGCTTTTTTAGTACCTAAAATGTGCCTATTAATGCTTTTGGTACAATATAGGTACCTTGTAGGTATACTTTTGGTATACCTCTGGCATACTTTTGGCACAGCCTTGAAGGTACCTAATAGATTGATATGTAGGCACTTTTTAGGTATGCCTGGAATGTACCTACTGGTATAGTTAGATGATGTGCCAATATTGTGCTTTTTTAGTACCTAAAATGTGCCTATTAATGATTTTGGTACAATATAGGTACCTTGTAGGTATACTTTTGGTATACCTCTGGCATACTTTTGGCACAGCCTTGAAGGTACCTAATAGATTGATATGTAGGCACTTTTTAGGTATGCCTGGAATGTACCTACTGGTATAGTTAGATGATGTGCCAATATTGTGCTTTTTTAGTACCTAAAATGTGCCTATTAATGATTTTGGTACAATATAGGTACCTTGTAGGTATACTTTTGGTATACCTCTGGCATACTTTTGGCACAGCCTTGAAGGTACCTAATAGATTGATATGTAGGCACCTTTTAGGTATACCTAAAATGTACCTATCTGACTGTTAGAATTATATGCCATACCATGTATAGGCATACTTTAGGTATGCCTCATTGTTCAATCTAATGTTTTATGTGTGCCTAAAATGTACCTATATGTGAAATAGAAAAAAATAAATCATTGAAAAGTATACCTTTAGTATGCCTTTTTTGTACCAATTTGCTACCTATACTTGAAGAAGTGGTTCCAAACTTGTATACTTTAGGTATACCTTTTTTGTGCCTATATTTATCAAGAATAGGCATGCCTAATCTGTACCTTTTTTTTATGGTCATTTTTCTTAAGTAGTTAATTATTGTTTTCTTGCGTTGCACTTAAGTTTGTCATGGTAATTTTAATTTCTAGTGCAATTAAGACTAAAAACGGCATTTTTTTAATATAGTGCATGTTGTGTTTCATTAAGGACATTACTACATGTGAGTGGGTACCTAGTCCTACTAATACATTGTTGACTGTTAATCCTTGGATTATGTCCCAAAAATAATGAAGATATCCTCCAAACAATAATGAATTGATTTTTTTTTCCTTTCATTTTCCTGGTTTTTAAAAAAGTGCTCCAATCAAACCAAAGACATGAAAAAAATAAGTCTTTGAAATACTGCTATTTAAATTTCTTATGTTTTAAACTAACAAGCTCATCATGAATAAAGATAATAATACACATATGACGTTTTTTCCTACAGAGGTGTTTGTAAAGCTTGA